TATAGATCAATGGAACAGAACAGAGACCCCAGAAATAGACCCACGCCATTATGGTCAGTTAATATTTGACAAAGGAGGCAAGAGTATCCAATGGAGTAAGGACAGTCTCTTCAATAAGTGGTGCTGGGAAAATTGGACAGATACATGCAAAAGAATGAAACTAGACCACCAACTTTCTCCATACACAAAAATAAACTCAAAATGGATAAAAGACTTAACTATAAGTCAAGAAACCATAAAAATCCTGGAAGAAAATATAGGCAGTAAAGTCACAGACATCCCACGTAGTGGACTTTTCACTGATACAGCTCCTAGGGCAAGAGAAACAAAGGAAAAAATAAACATATGGGACTACATCAAACTAAAAAGTTTCTGCACAGCAAAAGAAAACAGCCTCAAAATACAAAGGAACCCCATGGTCTGGGAAAACATATTTGCCAAGGATGAATCTGATAAGGGGCTAATTTCCAAAGTGTACAAAGAACTCATAGCACTCAGCAAGAGAAAGACAAAAACTCAATAAAGAAATGGGCAAAGGACTTAAATAGTTCTCCAAAGAGGACATACGGATAGCCAAGAGACACAGGAGAAAATGTTCGAGGTCGATAATCATCAGAGATGCAAATTAAAACCACAATGACGTATCACTTCACATCTGTCAGAATGGCTGCCATCAACAAGTCAACAAACGACATGTGCTGGCGAGGGTGTGGAGAGAGGGGAACCTGAGTACACTGCTGGTGGGAATGCAGACTGGTGCAGCCACTATGGAAAACAGTATGGAGGTTCCTCAAAAAATTAGAAATGGAGCTTCCGTTTGACCCAGTGATTCCTCTCCTAGGAATGTATCCTAAGTATCCCGAAACATTCATCAGAAAGGATATATGCACCCCAATGTTCATAGCAGTACAGTTTACAATAGCTAAGATCTGGAAACAGCCCAAGTGCCCATCAGTAGATGAGTGGATTAAGAAGCTGTGGGACATTTACACCGTGGAATACTACGTAGCTGTAAAGAAGAAGAATCTTGTACCCTCTGCGACAGTTTGGATGGTCCTGGAGAATATTATGCTAAGTGAAATAAGCCAGGCAGCGAAAGACATATGTCACATGATCTTGCTTATACATGGAATCTAAAGAACTTAATAAACTGACGAGCAGAATAGATTCAATGACATGAAAGCATAGTTGAGACTGACGAAATGTCAGAAGGAAGGGGGAGACGGGGTGGAGGGGGAGAGAGTAACCAAAGAATTTATATGCATATATGCACAACCCAAGGACACTGACAATGGTGGGGAGAGTGACTGGGGAGGGGGAAGGAACGGAGGGGGAAAGGGTCATTGGGGAGAAAGAGGGACATCTATAATACTTCAAACAAAAATAAAAATTTAAAAAAAAAAAAAAAAGAAAGAAAACAGGGTTATCCTCTGTATTGGCTATTAGGTAATCTAATGCATGTGAGGGCATCCACATTTTTGAGAGAAAGAAAACGTAAAAAAAAGAAAAAAAAAGTGAATGGAAAAGTATGAAAATGTCAGAAGGTAACATGGGAAAATCTAGATACATTGGGCATGGCAATTACATTTTAGGTGTAAATTGTAAGGAATGATGATGAAAAAAAAAAAATAGTTAACTGAACTTCACTGAAATTAAAAACCGCTCAGTGAAACAGAGAGAATGAGACAGCAGAAACTGGGAGATAATATTTACAACAGCCATGTATGATTAGAAACTCATGCAAAATATACAAAAACTCTTAAAACCCAACAATAGGAAAATGAACTGCCTGATTAAAAAATGGACCAAAGGTCTTAACAGATACCTGGCCAAGAAATATATACAGAAGGCAAATCAACATAGGAAAAGATGCTCCAAAAATCATTAGAGAATTGTAAACAACATATAATTAAAACAGTAAGAGAATTAAAACAAGATACCACTATAACCCTATTTTTAGGCTCTGTATTTTGTTCTATTAATGAATCTGTTGATTACCTTTGCCAATACCCTACTGCCTTGGTTAACACAGCTTTATAATTACTAAAGTCCAAAACACTTAGGCCATAAACTGTCCTATATTTGTTTGCTGAAATTTAATTCTCAATCAGATGCTACCTGAAGGTGAAGTCTCTGGGAGGTATTATGTCATGAAGAGAGAGCCCTCAAGAAATAAATCAGTGTTATTATATTGAGACCTCAGAGGGCTTCCTTGCTCCTTCTGTCTCATAAGGACACAGTGACAAAAACAGAACAGTCTACAAATATGTAGGAGCGCCCCTCACTAGACGTTAAATCTGCCAATGCTTTGATCTGGGAATTCCTAGACTCCATAACTGTGAGAAAATAAATTTCTCTTATTTATAAATCACCCAGTTTATTGTACTTTGTTTATACCTGCCTGAAATTACTAAGACAACTGTCAACATGAAATACTGGGAGAAGCTAGAGCAAAAAGAAGCTTCAGTTGCTATGTGTGGTAATGCAAAATGGTACAGCTGCTTTAGAAGATACAATCCTGAAACTACTGTTACCTTATAAGGCAGCAATCACCCTCCTAAGCTTTTATCCAAATACGTTGAAAACTTACGTCTTCACAAATCTGCAATGAATTTTTATAGCTTTATTTGTAACTGCAAAATATACAAATAACTTAGAAATCCTTTAACTAAGTGAATGTATAAACTGAAGAAAATCCAAACATGGACTATTATTATTCAGTGATTAAAAACAAAAACAGCTATGATGTCAAGGAGAGACATGGAGGAAGCAAAATGAACATTACTAAGTGAAGGAAGTTATTCTAAAAAGGATACACACTATATAATTTCAACTATATGACATTCTGAGAATGGCAACATTATAGAGAATAAAAAGATTTATGACTGTGAAAGGTTCAGGGTAAGCAATACAGAATATATAGATGAAGCACAAGGTATGTGGTATGTTTAGGACAGTGAGTTCTATTTTGTATTATACTGTAAAGATGGGTGCATGTCATTACAGGCTTGTCAAAACCCAGATATGTCTCACAAAAATAGTAAATTATAAAGTGAATTATGGGATTTAGTTAATGATAACATAGTATTTAATGTACCAAGGCAGGAATGTTAAAATAGGGAACAATGACCTCAACCTCTACCTCTTCCCTTTTGTGTCTTGCTGGAACCTCACAGATATGACCTTCCCTGACCACCTATTCCCCACTTTGCCTTCCCCAACCTCATGTAATTAAAACAAACAAAACCAGTGTCAACCAGACTGACCTAAGAGGGAACAACAGGGCAGTATCTTTATAATAAATTAATGTTACTATTTTGGGACCACCACTGCTCTCCCATGGATAACAGTCCTGTGAAGATGGGCTGCATAGGCAGTCATCCCACCAGCATCAGAAGCTGAGGACCACCCTATCTTCTAATTTAAAAAAAAAATCCTCACCCCAGGCTATTTTTTCCATTACTTTTCAGAGAGTGGGAGGAAGGGAAAGACACACACACAAACACACACACTCTCTCTCTCTCTCTCTCTCTCTCTCAATGTGAGCCTCTTGCATGTGCCGGGGCTGGGTATCGAGCCTGAAATCAAGGTACATGCCCTTCATCAGAATCAAACTCAAGACCCAAGGGTCAACACTTTAACCACTGAACCAAACCAGCCAGGGCCTCTTTTTAATAAAAACCTATCAACCAGACCTCACGGAGGTCTTGTTCTCCAAAGTCACCCACCCTCACTTCTCAAGAGCATACTATCAGTTTAAGAAATTTACTGTGCTTTGTTAAATCTCTGTCACACTCTCAAACTCTTTCTTGGGCTATGACAAGAACCTGAATCCCAGCATAGGACTGAGGACTCCCTTGGCCTCCCTGGTGCCCCCGGCATCAGTATCACACTATTACAAGGTTCAAAATGGGGGGTAGATGACATGGACATAACACCATGCGTGTCAGAAATTTTGGGAACTTTTTGTGACATCTGCTAAATTTTCTGTGAAGCTTAAGTGCTCTAAAATGTAGTCTAGTAATTAATAAATCTTTAAAAAGAGGTTGTTAAAAAAATTCCTGTCTCTAAATCAAAACATTTAATGGCTTCAAATTGCCCTCAGGATAAACCAACCCCATTAGCTTGACATTTTACCTGCCCTTTCCTGTTTCTAATTCTCAATTTTCTGAGACTTTAACATCTTTGTTTTTCCTAAGCCACCTTCCCATCATAGTGCAGATTATACTTTAATGTAACTTATTTTAAGTGAAAATTTACTGGTCTTTTTAATCCTTTAAAATAAATGCTTAACACCTGGCACAGTACTGATCTTATGCAGGCAGTGTTTACAGAAATTAACTGCAAATATAAAAAACATGGGCCCTTAGCCAGGTGACTCAGTTGGTTGTAGCATCGTCCCATACATGAAAAAGGTTGAGGATTGAATTCCTGGTCAGGAAATATATTTAGGTTGTGGGTTTCACCCCTGGTCAAGGTGCATAAGGGAGGCAACCAAGCAGTGTTTCTCTGTTTCTCACCCACCTTCCTCCCTTTTTAAAATAAATAAACACATCCTCAGGTGGAGATTAAAAAACACACACACACAAATACATGGTCATCATGCCTTAATTAATTAGCAATAAAATTTGGGGGAATTGTAAGGCTGTTGGTATTTTTCTCTTCTTTTCCTTTATTCCATACTATCTAACATAATTATATTAGGTAAGTAAATCTAACGTGCACAGACTAAATTTAAAATGTAGTACTAATACTGTAAAACTTAAAATTTTCATAAATTGTGAATTACCTAAAATATTTTTAAAGATAATAATATTCCCTACTTCTTAAAGTGTACAAAAGCCAAAGAAAAATTACTATTAAGAACAAGCAAAGCAGCTAATCTTTCTTTTACCTGAGTGGCGTTATATAGCTGTTTTCTCCATGGCTCTTCTGTGCTGCTGCTCAGGTTTGTGCAGTTGTGAGGTAGAGTGAGTGTGTTTTGCTGTAGGTAAGGAATATTTCCATTACTTCCACTTCCTGTTACATAATTACTGCCTAACAAAATAGTGTCTGCACTCGATAGTGTTTCTGATGTGCCACAAAGAGCACAGCATGCAGAAAAAGGTCCGCTGGACAAAGGTTTTTCAAAACAAGAAGAGTGAACTTCAAGCAGAGATACTATGGTTGCTGGATAGAGACAGAATTTGTACGCACTTAAGAGTCAGCTAATTAGCCCAAAATGAATTCCAGTAGTTTGTGCTGTTTTTTCATCTTCAAAAACAAAGAAGAAAATCTGCTTGTGTGACTCTGAAAATGTGTTATCAAATACATTCCTAATTTAGTGTAACATTTATCTCTCTGGTTAAAAAATATACACTTTGAAAATGACACACTATGTTCATATGGGTAAAGCAGAAATCTTTTTAATTCTATAGTTAAAGAAACCTCCTTTATTAGTGGTATAAGGACAAAAAAAGCAGCTGAAAATTATAAATGTTAGTTAATATACAGACCTTACTTTCCATCATTAAAGGGAATCTAAAATTTCCATTCTATTACATTTATGCCAAATCTCTGATATCACAAACAATCCTTAAAACAGCCCTACCTCAGTATGGGTAATTGTTAATTATAAAATAGTAAAAATAAGCCTATAGAACACAATTGAAATATTACACAAGTAAAGAGCAAAATAGCAAGTGTTTTGTTCTAAGTAAATTTATGGACATTTGGAAAAAAAATCTGCCCATTTGTATTTAAATTCAGATACATAAATTCTATTGAATATATGTTAAAAGTTGAGCATTAATATACTCTAAATAACATTTCAGTCCAGGAAAACATTTAACATAACAAATATTGGAATAAAAGAGGTATACATACTTGTTGCATTAAAACAAAATGACTTTCCAACTGTTCCAGCATCAGTCTCTGTGCTGAATTTAAAGTATCTTTATTTGCATGTAGCTGTTCCAAGTGCTACAAAAATGAGAAAGAATACAAAGTTAAGTCTAAGAAGTAAGATCAGGCAACCTGTCACTGAAAAGACTACAAACTCAGAACCTCTGTGTGGTCAAATACAGTGATTTCTAACCAAAACTAATTAATTCAAAGATGAAGTCCTGTCAGGATAATAAGAAAGGTAAAAACCATAAATTCATCTGAAAAAGGTTACTTATGTGTATTAAGTTAAATATATTTTGTGGAAAATCTTAACAAAATTAAAATCTTAACATAGAAAACTAGTTAACCTTACAATGTATTGTAAAAGAACAGTTTAAAAGCAGCATTGTTTGTAGAATCATTGGATATCTACTGAAAGTCCAACACTAGGAATCTGGTTAAATAACCATTAGTCTCCATGGAGTAAAAAGTAATACTATGTAGCTCTAAAAGAACAAGGGAGTATACAGACATAAAAAAAGTCTGGAAGATATACACATCTTTCAAAGTCATGAATATACATAGCATTCTACCTATATTTACTATACAACGAAGAAGAAATCTGTAACACCAAGCATCTTTTCTTGGACATGTATAATATTATCTTTAAAACTAAAAACACAAAAGAAGCTATTTACATTGATTACTGGTAGGAAAGGGAATTTAAGTGGCTAAAGGCAGGATCTGGAAGGAGCCTTTAAGTGGTATACTCTCAGCTTCTATTAATTCTTACATTCTTACATTTCAAACACGAGTGGATTAATTCTTTAAAACAGTAAAAAACAAAAATGAATTATAAACTGCTTTTTTTTAGCTCTGAAAAATGTGGGCTCATTATGCTTATGCTCCACTTAACTGAATTGCTAAATTAGTACATACTACTTTAAAATAGAGGAAAAACTGATAGAATATTTCATACCTATAATTTCTGTAATGTCAGATACCACGCATTAACCTGCTGCTGTACTGAAGTGTGTGGAACAGTTTGATGGCTATTCGAGTTTAGAATTTAATTAGAAAAAAAAAAAATTGAAAAATATATGGTTTAATTGATATGCTATGATTGATGAGTAGTGAGATATCATGTGACTAATTGGAGAATTTTTACATAGAATTTGTTTTAAAATCATTTAAAAATAATTTTAAATGAATAATCCATTAGAAACCTATGAACTTTAACACACATTCATTTTTTAACTCCACCTTAAAAAGTCTCTTCTAAATTGTGGCTGAAAGAGCTAACATGGTGACCATTATCTCTAAAATTTAATTTATTACAATGTCAGCAGAAAGTAGTGGAAAAGTGTACTGATTTTGTAAAAGCAGAAAAATGAATAAAATGATTTGATGAACATGAAGCTATATCTCTTGTATGTAAATGCAATTTCAGGGCAGAACATACTGCCAAGTAGTAACATAATAATAACTGAAGAACTTTTCAGTCCTTGTATACAAGTTTAAAATATAAGACAAATAAAATTTCAGAATATTTAAGAACTACATTTAAAAAAAATGTATTGATTTTAGAGAGATGAAGGAAGGGAGAGAGTGGGATAGGGAGAAAAACATTGATTTGTTGTTCCAGTTATTTAAGTATTCATTGGTTAATTGCTGTATGTGCCCTGAATGGAGATCAAACTACGAATCTTGACGTACTGGGATGATGCTCTAACCAAATGAGTTACTCAGCCAGGGCAAAAGCTTCATTTTTTTTTTTTTAAATATGTCTTTATTGATTTCAGAGGGAGGAAGGGAGAGGGGGAGAGAGATACAAACATCAATGATGAGAGAGTCATCATTTATTGGCTGCCTCCTGCATGCCCCTCTACTGGGGATGGAGCCTGCAACCTGGGTATGTGCCCTGACCAGGAATTGAACCATGATCTCCTGGATTCTAAGTCAGTACTCAACTGCTGGGCCATGCCAACTGGGCAAGAGCTTCATTTTTGATTGGGACTTTACATTTCTCTAAAGTTTACATATACCTTTATTGGACTAGATGTTCTTTTCCTCTTGGCAGGACTGGACAGGTCATCTACCTGGGTAGAAGGAATCATGTGTACTGGCAAGGACTGCTGTAAAATTGGTGTTTGATTGAGGCCTAACACAGGTTCAGATTTTGGATGATGAGCTTTAGAAGCCTAAGGATCACAGAAGACAAAAATATGGTTCTATGTATTCATAATTCATTCCTTCTAATAATAAAACTTTATAAGTTGCTTATTTTCCAAAACTATGTGAACATCATGTATTACGATTACTAAAAATCAAAGTCAAATGAATCATCAGTGGAGAAATGTGTACCTTCTTTGGAAAAATTTGTTTTTTCAATTAAATAAATTAGTATGATAGTCCCTTAAGAAATCCCTTCCAAAAGCATGAGAAATTTTAAGGTTTTTAAATTGTATCCCAAGTTTCTTCCTATATCATAGGAAGTCATTATTTTTATCTAAAATCCCTTTCCAATAAACTCTGAAAGAGTTTTACTTTTTTTTAAATGCCAATCCTGCTCTTAATAATGTAAATTTGATAACCACAGACTGGAAAGAACCCTTAAAGCTGGGCACCTACAGAACATAACCCAACTTCTCACCTGCTGTGCTGTGTTCATGGCACCCTGCCTGGAAGTAAGCTCTGCAGGTATTGGTAGGCTCCACGCCTCCTCAATACTAGGAAGTAATTTAGTTTTATTCTGTAGACTACCTTGTGGAAGGTTACACAACTGAGCCTAGGAAAAATTATGTAAAAAGCAAATTTAACACAAGCCTACTTGAGTAAGAGCAAGTCCACTAATTTTCCTAAATGCTATAACTAATCGTTTTTTTGTTTTTTTAAGAAAATAGATTCTTANGGCCTACTAAAGTTAGTCCACTAAATCTTCCTGAATGTTACAGGTATTTATTTTTTAAAGACAACAGATTTTAATTGTGGGGTTTTAGATATATGCTAAGTATAAAGAGGGTGACTAGAATATACTCGTGAGAATCAGAACAAAGCTAAGTTCTGCTTTTTAGAATTTTCATGGATACTGTCTCATGAAATTTTAAGGAAAACTGAAAAAAATGTGTCCTTTTCTCTAAAATGCTATAACAAACATGTAGATATAACACAGAAAAATCATGCAAATTAATATGCATTAAAAAGGATATGTGCAAGAGAACATTTTAAATACTAATATCTTAAATAAAATTAAAAGTAAAATAATATCACAAAATAGTAAAAATTATGAAAACTAGTTGATATCAGGACAAAAATTAACTTTCCAGCCACCCTCTTTCTGCCAGTTATCACACTGAAATGTGTCGTGTAAAATATATGCTACTTAAAATTTTTACCTGTAAAAATTTAATTCTTCCTGCAAGTATAGAGGTATTAGTACAACTTTTGCTTCTAGTTGCATTTAAGTAGCATTTAATGGCATCCTGAGGTTGATTGCACGATTCATAGAGAGTGCCTAGGTCCATCCAGGCTGCTGCATGCCCATGGTCCAACTGTACAGCACAAATATATGCCTGCAAAGCATCCATGGGTTGATTTTGCTGCTGATAGAGGACACTGGACAGAGAAACAAAGAACAGGTTGTCTAAAACTGACCAGGTATAACAATACACAATATACTTTATTTATATTCAGTGTACATAATTCAGTGTATATTCAGTAATACACAATATACTTTATGTATTTCAGTGAACTTATGTACCAAATAAGATGCTGTTAATCTTATATACACAAGCCTTACCCTATTGAACACCATGTATCTGCACTTGCTTCTGACTTATCAATAGATTGCCTGTAAGATATAAACGCATCCTGAACTTTCCCAATACTTGAATAGCACCTGTAAAAGGGAAAGGGGAGATATATATATATGAGAGAGAGATATACATATACATATACATATACATATACATATACATATACATATACATATACAAAATATTCCATTAATAATTAAAGCAACAATATTTATTGCCAAAATGACATATATAGAAAAGAAAAACTAGTAAGTAACATATATATTACACATTGTAATATGCTGTTAAATGAACTTTTATCAGTGCTGACATGTTATATTAATAAACTTTATTGAAACCATCATAGCCCAAATGTGTTAAATGCAATAATATTCATGGTCAAACACACAAAACTTTATGTAATTTGTACTAAGGTTTCCTACATAAGAATACAGAGCTAAAAATCAAAGAAACTAAATTTGATTTCAGCAGACATGAATTTTCATTTCTGAACTTCCAACCCTTAACACAAACCTTTCTTTGGGAAAAAAAAAAAGTTTTTATTAATTTCAGAGACAGGAAGGAAGAGGGAGAGATACAAAAATCAATGAGAAAGTCATTGATTTGCTGCTTCCTGTATGCCCCCTACTGAGGATGGAGCCCAAAACCAGGCATGTGCCCTTTTGGGG